CTGGTCAGGTGGCCTGTAACAAATCCCCACTATAACGTCCCCCGTTGCTGTTCTCCCTTTGACCCTGGTCCATAAGCTCTCTGTTGACTCCTCACCTATCCCCAGACACAGTTCCATACTCTCCAGCCTGTCACTGACATAAATAGGAACTCCCCCTCCCCATCTGCCAGGCCTGTCTTTTGTAAAGAGCCGGTAACTGTCCATTCCAACACTTCAGTCACAGGAGCCATCCCACCATGATATATACAGTATATCACACTGTACAAGCAGTGATGACTATGAATAATTTACAAAAACAAGTGTAAAAATGTAATATTTTTAAGGCTTATATTCTATCTGTAATTCATACTTGTATTTGATGATACCTGTCAGTTTTTATAACAAACCTCCTCTTTTGTTGCTAATAACTGCGAAAGTGGGCTGGAATGTCCAGTATGGTCTGTGACCTATTTGCCTCAGGTTTTCTTTTAAGATTTCAACAAAACTGCTCACCAAGTTCAAGATTCTCTTTGGCCATTTTCCCTGAAAAACTGTAGCACCTCTATGACTTGCAGTAGAATTATTTGCCAGGAATAAATTTCCTGCTGTTCCTATTGAGCTGGTCATGCTGTAAATTCCCTGAACTTCATATTTAAGTATAATTGTAAAAGCTTGATGTTTTAAGGGAAAGAAAGAAAGAAAGAAACAAAACACCACAACTCCAAAACAAACAGACCCAAAACCTGGTTCCGATATTTGTAATCCAAATAATTGGGCTGCCAAAGGGAGAATAAAGGAAGCAGGGCTCTGCACCAACACTGCTCCTTCAACACCTTTCTCATCTGGGACACCCAATCGGCTGGCGGACATCAGCTACAGCTCCACAATGCCATGCAAATTAGGGTTAGAGTTCCTGTTAGGGTTAGGGTTCAGAGAGCTGCAAAGCCTACAGCTGCAGGGGTACTGGTGCTGCCAAAGGTATGCTAGGAAGGGCAGTGCACTGCACCAACATTGCTCCATCAACACCTTTCTCATATAGGACATTCGTTTGGCTGGAGGACGTCAGCCTCAGGTCCTGGATGCCATGCAAATTAGGGTTAGGGTTAGTGTTCAGAGAGCCACAAAGCCTACAGATTCAGAGATACTAGGGCTGAAGAAGGCATACCAAGGGGAGCATGGCAGTGCACCAACATTGGTCCTTCAACACCTCTCCCATATGGGACACCTATTTGTTTGGAGGACATCAGCCTTAGCTCCACAACACCACGCAAATTAGGATTAGGGTTAGGGATAGGGTTAAGTTTAAAAGAGTCACAAAGCTTCCTGGCATACGGGGCTAAAAAAAGCATGCCAAGGGGAGCATGGCACTGCACCAACATTGCTCCTTCAACAGCATTCTCATCTGGGACACCCATTCGGCTGGAGGATGTCATCCTCAGCTCCATGATGCCATGCAAATTTGTGTTTGATTTAGGATTAGAATTATTTTTAAGAGAGCCAGAAAGTCCACAGGTCTAGGTTTACTGGTGCATGAAAATGCATGCTGAGGGGAGCATGACACTGCCCCAACATTGCTCCTTCAACAGCTTACTCTTCTGGGACACCCATTTGGCTGGAGGACGTCTGCGTACCCTCCAAAATGCCATGGAAATTAGGTTAGGGCTATCGTTGAGAGAGCCACAAAGCCTACAGCTGCCGGGATACTAGGGCTGAAAAACGTATGCCAAGGGGAGGATGGCAGTGCACTGACATTGCTCCTTCAGCTTTTTTCTCATCTGGGACACCCAGTTGGCTTGAGGATGTCAGTCTCAGCTTCATGATGCCAAGCAAATTACTGTTGAGGCCAGGTTTAAGTTTCAGAGAGACAGAAACCTACACCTTAAGGGATACTGTGGCTGCCCACTGCATGTCAAGGGGAGCACAGCACTGCACTGACATTGCTCCTTCATCTTTTTTGTCACCTGGGACACCCAGTTGACTGGAGGACATCAGCCTCCGGTCCTTGATGCCATTCAAATTAGGGTTTGGTTTAAGGATTTTTTTAGTGTTTAGAGAGCCACAAAGCCTAGAGCTGCAGGGATGTTGGTGCTGCCAAAGTCATGCCAAGTGGAACATTTCAAAAATATTCGACAGGCTGAGAAAGTTGGGGCTGTTCATCCTGGAGAAGAGCAGCTTTGTGGAGACCTCATAGCAGTCTTCCAGTACCTGAAGGGGGCCTACAAGGGTGCTTGGGAGGGACTGTTCATTAGAGACTGTATTGATAGGACAAGGGGTAATGGGTTCAAACTTAAACAGGGAATGTTTTGGTTAGATATAAGGAAGAAGTTATTTACTGTGAGGGTGGTGAGGCAGTGGAACAAGCTGCCCAAGGAAGTTGTGAATGCTCCAACCCTGGCGGTGTTGAAGGCCAGGTTGGATGGAGTCTTGGGTAATATGGTTTAGTGCAAGGTGTCCCTGCTCATGGGAGGGGGGTTGGAACTAGATGATCTTAAGGTCCTTTCCAACCCTAACTATTCTATGATTCTAATTCTCCCCATGACACTCCCCAACCAGGCTGCACAGGATAAAAAGACAAAGTAGCAGCTGCTAAAAATCTAACCAGAAACTCCCTTCATCCTCTCAGCTTATGCATACTATGCCTCAAAGAAAGAGAATAAACGAGCAGGAAGCATTTCTTATAATGTTCCCCACACTGGAGTGATACAGTCTTATGTATTCCTTGGCTGTGTTTCACAGTAAAGATCTTCAAACTCATTTTTAATAGAAGCAAAGGAAATACAACTGTTTAGGCAGAACTCGGGTAAACCCCAGGTCTGTCTGTAATATGGCAGATGCTACTTTTTAATTTTAGGAGGTGGAATGGTGATGAAGCTAAAGAAAGCTGAGGGCTGTAATTGGCTATACTACCATAATACTCCAGCCTATGTTTTTTTAGGCAAGGAACAGACCCTAGGAAATTTGATTTTCATCACTTTCCTGCCATTTAGCAAATAATTAGGCATACTACTGGTGAAGTGCATGGCTGCATCTGTCTTGTAGCCATTTCTTTTGTAGCCAAAGAAATCAAAATAGCTCCTGTGCTACTTAGCGCAAAATGTTAAAACTCATGTGCACGTCAGGATGATTCTCGCATAATGAAATGTCTTTTTAAGAAACTGCAGATTCTAAAACTATTGAAACCATCTGTTTTGCTAATACAGTTATACAAAAGAACTGTTACAGTGGAAGTCCAGTGCCCTGTTAATTTGCCTTATTCTGTACATGCCTACTGAGACAGTTTCTGGAGGGCCGCAGGTAATTTCTGGCTCAGCTCACTCTGTGAGCCTGAGCAGTACAGGATAGCAGGCATTCAGGGACTGAATTAAGGTTGCATTGGCATTAAGATTGTATTACTTTTCAGCTCTGGCATTTCTGACAGTGTTTCTTTGCACATGGTTTATGATTAAGATTTAGAGATGTAGAATGTAAACAAAAACACAGACTTGAAGTCCAGCTGTTTGGCTTCTATCTGTTTATAAAGTACACTGGGTTTGATGTGCCAAAAACAAAGCTCAAGAGTGACAGAGTATTGTTTGTATGAATTACATTTCTTGTGTATTGGCTTTATTGCATATGGAAACTCATTTTAAGCTAATCTATTTTAACTGTACTAGAAAAGTTTCTTCAGCTTTTTTCCCAGTAAGTCATGTGAGGTTTTTTGGTTGTTTTTTTCTTAATGCTGCTCAAGTCTGTTTTAAGAACAGGGATGTTTCTTGTGAAGTGTGTATGCATTATTTTGGGGAGGTGAAAAAGAAAAAACAGGGAACGTTATTAAGCTGAATTAATTTTTGAAGGATTTTTCTGAAGGTATCTCTGGGTGAATTATGGGCCAAAGCATCAGTGTTCTTAGTTAATTTTTGTTCCACAGTTAACTTTCCGATAATAGCAATTTTTTGTCTCCCTCAATAGGTATCCTCAGCCCGAGGTATCAATGCTTATGGAAATACCTCAGTGGTACAGATAGGTAATATTTCAGGCTATATTGATACACCAGACCCGCCAACGATTATCAGCTATTTGCCTGGGCTGCTGTACAAATTTAGCTGTAGCTATCCACTGGAATACTTGGTTAACAATACACAGCTTGCTTCGTAAGTGTGCTTTTTATTTCTATCTATATGTTTCATTCCCATGTTTGTGTAAGCCCATGTGTATGCAGACACATGCACATATACCTAAATATATTCATGCCATAGCAGTATTGTCAACATAGTAATTTTTGGCTGTGTAAGAGTGTCCTGGGTTCAGCTACAACAGTCATTTTTCTCCATCTTAGTAGCTGGTGCAGTGCTGTGTTTTTGACTTTCAGTCTGGGAACAACGCTGATAACACCGGTGGGTTTATTTGT